TGCCTACTCCCCAGATCTTGGACCACCCCGGACCAATGTTCCCTCTAAGCTGTGGAGTCTTGTGAGCAAAAATCCTACTTTGTGAGCTCCTGGCATTAAAGTTGAGAGCGAGCGATTTGGCTACGGCATAAATCAGTTTGCTCTGGAGCCCTCCTTCCTGAGCGGAGACAAAAATGTGTGAGCCGGAGGCTAAAAAACTGTGAGCTGGCTCACACCAACTCAGCTTAGAGGGAACACTGCCCCAGACTCGGTGGCTCTGCTTTGGGGGACGGTCTTCTCTCCCGCCCCCCGCCCCCTTCTTGAGGAATGCGATAGAGATCAGGCCCGAAAGGGGGGTCCCTCCTCTCCAAGGGGGCGCGGCGCGTTTGGGGAAAGGGGCCGGGAGGGAACCCCGCCGCTCCGGCCGAGCCCTCGAGTTCGCAAAGCTCTTCCCCAGCGCGGGCGGCACAGAGTCTGATGCAACCGCCCGGGAGGCTTGCAAGAGGCGGCGCGCGCGCCTTGCCCCGCTCCGGGGCGGACGCGCGCAAAAAGACTTTCTCCGGCCGCCGCGGCGCACTCACCCTCCGGAGGATCGGGGCTTTTGTCGTCGGGGTCGCACGGCGGCGAGGCGTCCCGGGACAAGGCGCGGGGGTTAGAGGCTGTGCATTCGGGGCGGGCGCGCACATAACACAACACACACACACACACACATGCAACACGCCCGGGCGCCGCTCAGCCAATCAGGCTCCGGATAAGTTGGAGGCGAGCAAGGGAGCAAATCCGGGCTCGGCGGCCGCGTGGGAATGCAGCAGGTGGATCGGAGAGCCAGTTTCTCCCCCCTCCCCTCCCCTGGCTCCCTCCCAGATCTCCAATGGCAGCGTTTGAACGACTCGGTCCCGCTGCCAAAAGTGCCCGCAACTTTGGGGGCTGCTTTTTACGCAAAGCGCATGTGGGTTGCTGCTGGAAGTTTAGGGGAGTCGCGTGGAACGGTGCCACATCGGACCTCTCAGCGCTGGAGGCGGATCGGCATTTTGATTTGTACGCCGCCTTGCTGCCCAAACGGGGACTCAAGGGAAAGCAGCCGGCGACATCGTTCCCTCCCCCCCCCTTCCATATTTATCCCGATAACATTCGCTTTGCACATGAACACAGGAAGCTGCCAGCCAATCAGGCCATCGAGGTCGGCGTTTCCAGGGTCCCCAACGTGGCGCCCGCGGGTGCCACGGCGCTTACCGACACCTTTGCTCGTGGCTGCCAGCTGTTTTTAGAAAGTGGGTGGAGCCAGGTGGGGCTTCTGCCCAGCAAGGCTTCTGATTACTGATTTACTGCAGATTTACAATAATGTTCTGGTGGCAGATACACTCAGTCAGGGCCGGCTCGCCCGCTAGGCGAACTAGGCGCTCGCTTAGGGCGCGCCCACCCCCACACGCCAAAGAGCCGCTGCTTGCCTGCGCAGGGCCGGACCAGAAGCACGCCTCAGTGTTGGCTTTATTCTCTCTCTCCTTCCTCTTTCCCAGTGCATTCTTTAAAATTACTCCTCTTGTTCCCCACACTTGGGCTTCCTTTGTGTGTGTCTCTCTCCACCCTCCCTTGGTGGCTGTAATGGATCAGGACCCGGCATGGTCAGCTTGGGCACCACACGGTCAAGCACAAACGTCGAGCTTCGCTCAGACAGACAATGGACAATAGGGATCCTAGCCCGCACCAATCAGAATCCTAGGGATCCTAGCCCGCACCCATCTACTGAGACTGGCATTGGCTTTCCAGGGTCTTCAGTAGAGGTCTTTCACACATCACCTATAGCCCTATCCTTTTAACTGGAGATGCCGGGGACTGGACCTGGGACCTTCTACATGCCAAGCAGCGGCTTTATATCACTGAGCCACAGCACCGCCCTACAACCAGCGAGGTAGGTTAGTTATCCGGCAAGCATCCATGGCAGAGTAGGGATTCGAACCCAGACCTCTGACACTCTTAACAGCTATGAGTTCGGTGGCACCTTTAAGACCAACAGAGTTTTATTCAAGGTCTAGCCCTGACCTGGATAGCTCAGTCAAGCCCGATCTCGTCAAATCTCGGAAGCTAAGCAGGCCTGACCCTGGCAAGTAATTGGAAGGGAGACCTCCAAGGAATGCCAGGGCTCAGGAGGCAGGGGCAGGCAATCAAGTCACTTCTCTGAATGTCCTCCATGCCCCAGTAGGAGTCACCAGAGGTCGCCATGACTTCCAGGCCTGCAAGCACAGAGGCGCACACACATACAAATACCCACCAAGAAAGAGAGAGTTTTATTCAAGGTTTTACAGGGGCCCCTGGACTCGAACTTTCTTCTGCTGCTTCAGACCAACACGGCTACCCCCCTGAATCGCTCTTGACAGCTAGTTATGCACATCTCTGTTTTACCACCTGTACGCAATTGTACGCACCTGTACTTACAATCTCCTTTCCCTCCCCCTCCCCACAACAGACACCCTGTGAGTTAGGTGGGGCTGAGAGAGCTCTCCCGAGAACTGCTCTTGAGAGAACAGCTCTGAGAGAACTTGGGGCTCTACTGGTAGCAGGAGCTTCTTTGCATATTAGGCCACACACCCCTAGTGTAGCCAATCCTCCAAGAGCTTACAGTAGCCCCAGTAAGAGGAGCTCTGTAAGCTCTTGGAGGATTGGCTACACTAGGGGTGTGTGGCCTAATATGCAAAGGAGCTCCTGCTACCAGTAGAGGCCTTGTCCAGTGTTCCCTCTAAACTTGAGTTAGTGTCAGTTAGCTCACAGTTTTTTAGCCTACAGCTCACATATTTTTGTCTCCGCTCAGGAAGGATGGCTCCAGAGCAAACTAATTTATGCAACAGCCAAATTGCTCAATCACAGCTTTAATGCCAGTAGCTCAAAGTAGGATTTTTCTTCAGAGACTCCACAGCTTAGAGGGAATATTGCTTGTGACTGACCCAAGGTCACACCAGCAGCTGCATGTGGAAGCGTGGGGAATCAAAACTGGTTCTCCCAGATGAGAGTCCGCGCTCTTAACCACTACACCAAACTGGCTCTCCAGAGAGCCAGTTTGGTGTAGTGTTTAAGTGCGCGGACTCTCATCTGGGAGAACCAGTTTTGGGAGAACCTGGCTGGATGACCTTGGGCAAGCCGTAGCTCTGAAAAGAGCTGTTCTTGAAAAAGAGCTGTTTCTGTCAAGAGCTCTCTCAGCCCCACCTACCTCACAGGATGTCTGTTGTGGGGAGGGGAAGGGAAAGGAGTTTGTAAACCCGCTCTGAGACACCTTTGGGTAGTGAAGGGCAGGGTATAAATCCAATCTCTTCTTCTTCTTCTTCCATTATAATTATTAACTACCACGAAATTAGCATCTTCCAGAAGGCGCTAAGTACTGTCTGAATACTTACCCGTCTTTTTTTGATCCGATTGCAACTCTGTTCTTACATATTATTCTATTTTAACTTGCTTAAACCATTGTTTGCTTTAATGCTTAATCCTATTTTGTGCTAACTGGATATGTCGTGACCCGCCCTGAACCCACTTGTGGGGGGATAGAAATAAAATAAGGTAAATAAATAAAAGTGCTCCTGCTGTGAGCTGTTGGGAAAATGACCCCAGTAGTCCCAGCTGTAGCTCGATAGCAGCTTGATGCTTTTTGAAGTAGCGCTCTGGTTTGCTACCCCAAATGTGCAGAGACGGGGCTTGATTTCTCAAAATAAATAGCTATTTTAATGCAATTCCCTGAGCATGTGTATAATTACCAGGATGATGAACTTCTCTCCGATGAAGATCCAAAGTAGCTCAACGTCATTCTCTTCCTCTCTGTTTTATTCTCACAGCAACCCTGTGAGGTAGGTTAGGATGAGTGTGTGTGACTGGCCCAAGGTCACCCAGCGAGCTTCCATGGCAGAGGGGGGGATTTTAACTTTTTGTTGTTGCCGTCAAGTCACAGCTGACTTATGATGAGGTTCTCAAGAGGCGGTTTGACCATCGCCTGCCTCTGCGTAGCAACCCTGGACTTCCTCAGTGGTCTCCCATCCAAATACTAACCAGGGCCGACCCTGCTTAGCTTCCGAGATCTGATGAGATCCGGCTAGTTTAGGCCATCCAGGTCAGGTGGTTTGCCCTTGCCTGCCTCTGTGCAGCAACCCTGGGCTTCCTTGGTGGTCTCCCATCCAAGTCCCAACCAGGGCTGACCCTGCTTAGCTTCCGAAATTTGACCAGATCGGGCTAGGGTACACGAAAACCTGGGTACACGAAAACCTGGGTACACGAAAATATTGTTACTTGAGATGGTAAAAGAAACTGTCAGGAGTCATTTCTTGCAGGAGCGCACAGGAGCGGAGCTCCGGCAGTAAAGAGCCCAGGGGGCGGGCACATGCAACAAGCCCCACCCCCTGCTCCCAGCAGCCCTCAGTCAGAGCAAGAAGCGGGCAGGTGAGTTGCAGAGCTCCCCCGGGCCCCCCAGTCCAAAACAGTCCAGTGGCACCTTTAAGACCAAGTTTTATTCAGGTACAAGCTCTCCCTCCTCTGTGAGGACAGATCTGCACGTCCCCCCCCCCAATAGGTAGCAATCCAAAACAGTCAAGTGGAGCCTGAGCAGGGGGTGTTGCCTTCTGACACACTTCCGGTGATGTCAGAGGGTGTGGCATATGCAAATGAGTTATGCTAATAAGTTATGCTAATGAGCTCCTGCACCTCTTTTTCTATGAAATGACCCCTGGAAACTGTTATGTTTTCATATATATATATGTGTGTGTGTGTGTGTGTGTGTGGGTGTGTGTGTGTGTGTGTGTGTATATATATATAAATTTACGAACAAGGCATGGTGCGTCGGGCTTGTTGGTCTTGTATTTAGTTCCAGCCAGGGATCTGGTCCCTATACCCTCAGTCGTAAATGGATCGTAACAGGGTTAAGCTGCAGGTGCATGGATCCACTTTTAGCAAGACTGGTAGACCTTTTAGGGTGACCGCTCCAGAGATACCTCAGGCATCTGTTTTTAGAGAGCCAGTTTGGTGTCATGGTTAAGTGCGCGGACTCTAATCTGGGAGAACCGGGTTTGATTCCCCCACTCCTCCACTTGCACCTGGCTGGACAACCTTGGGCAAGCCGTAGTTCTGATAAGACCTGTCCTTGAAAGGGCACTTCTCTCAGAGCTCTCTCAGCCCCACCTACCTCACAGGGTGTCTGTTGTGGGGAGGGGAAGGGAAAGGAGTTTGTCAGCCGCTCTGAGAATCCAAAGTGAAGGGCGGGGTATAAATCCAATCTATATTATTATATTACTACTACTACTACTACTACTACTACATTGTGCCACATATTGTTCCTTTGCAGAGTTTTTAATTGTGTAATCCACCTTGAGTCTTGGCAAACGAGGCAGGCAATAATTGAATACATAAATCACTGACCTGGCTATCCATTGCCAGCACTGGCCCAGCAGTACTGGATCAGGCCACCAGAGCCTCCTTTGCTGGCTCCAAAGGCTGGCTTCCTCTTTGTCCTCAAAGAGCTACGGTGAATGGTTGTAGAGCAGGGGTCCCCAACGTGGTGCTCCAGGGCGCGGTGGCATATCAGGAACAACTAAAGCACCACCTATAATCCAATCCAAAGATCTTGTTATTGCATACAGACACTTACCAACAATAAAGGATGCTGGTACTTCCAGGAATTGAAATGATGTATTATTTAACCAAAACAATTAACAAACTCAATCCTAGGCTTAAACAAAAGGCTGTAAGAACGTAATACAGCCTTTG